GGGGACCCACAACCTTCACTGTGGAATCCAGGTGCATGAGATGGGCAGAAAAAAAGAAAGAAAGAAACACAGACACCACTGCTGAGAAATAGCTTTGGGGAGGGGACCTAAGCTTAACAGAGGCATTGCAGTATAGATTATCACTTTCCACAACTCTGTTTGCTTGTGCTGTTAGTGGGGTTTTGGCAAAGATGGAGGATGTGGCAAGAGTGGGGGCCTGTGTGCGATTGTGGTCAACTATGCTGGAGAACACTTCAAGAACTTTCTGTGTTGCTCTCATTCTTTGTAATATAAGGTTATGAAAATGTTTGCCATCAAAAGTATAAGGGTCTCAACTTGTTCAGGAAAGCATTTCTTAAAGGTGAAGATTCTGTAACTCTTTCCTTTTAAATATGTGTCTGTGTGCTTCTTGTGCATTTAGCTTTTAGTTGGCTGTGAGCTGGACAGCAGCAATCTGGTTTACAAGCTCATTGACCAGACACAGGTCTTAAGCTACAGAGCAGGCTGTGTGTAGTGAGATGAGATGTGGCTAAATATCTATGCAAGTTCTGCATGGATGTGTCCAGATGAGGGAGATGGAGACTGCCACCCTCCCATGGTCAGCTTTCTAAGCTCTACACCCTGGAAGGGAATGATTTCTACCTGAAGCAAGAGCTGACGTCACTCACAAACAGAAAGGGGCTAAAATTAAGATCAGATGGAAATAAGTGAGAAGAGACAGATCCATAGCTTGGTACTTCTCTTTCTTGGTGACATGTGACCTCATACAAATCACCTCACTTCATTGAGTGAGCCCTATGCTTGCTCACTGTGGTTTGATGCTGTGTGATTTAAAAGACAAGTGCCCAAAAGCTTCAATTGAGTGAAATCTCTCTGTATGTTTTGAGAAAGGCTTCAAGAGCCACAGAAATTATCATTTTGGACATAACTATTAAAAGTCCAATGGATGAGATTGGTGCTCACAGTACAAGTAAAGCACAAAACAGAATGATAAAAATTAGAATTAAAAATAGGGTCAGTATTCTCATTTTCAGCTACTAGTAATGATGAATTTAGAGTGTTAGTCACAACATTAACTAATGTAATGCAGGTAGCCTACACTAACCAATAAGTGCCCTGTAGGTTTAGTATAGTGCCATGTGCATGCATTGAGCTAGGTGTATCACCCACTTTGTCTCTAGTCTGCTCAACACTCATGAGAGGTGGTTTCTCAGATCTCTGAAATACAGTTGGAAGTGGTCAGGATGGAGTACCAGACCTCCTTCCTAAGGAGGGAAGATTTTACATGATTAACATTCAAGAAGGGATATTGGGAGACAAAGACGGAAGCTAACAGACGTATTTAAGGAGTAACTTAGGAAATACACAGGGGGCTCTGGGTAAGGAAACCATGAGATCCTGCATGGTTGAGATTCCAAGGGAAAAAAGAAGTTTGGATAATGGGGAAGAGATACTGGAAACAGACTGGGAGAACTATGCAAAAGGGAACTGCCAGCTTCATTCACTTCAAGAGGCAAAGAGAGGAGCAGTATTGTCTGGCTGTGTGCTAGCATCGTCCTAACCTGTCTCAGAGCTGGCATACTCAGACACTTACAGCAACTTGTTTACAGACTTGGGTCTCTCTATCCATCACTGTAGAGTATTTGCATGCAAGTTAATAACCATTGTTTAGAGTTTGATCAATTTCTCTAGGAGGTATAGGTTACTTTTTCAATAAATTTCACAGATTTGTAATATACATACAATGCTAATGTGTTAGTTGCCTTTCTTATGATCGATGTCACCAAAATACATGACAGAAACGGCTTATGGGAAAAAAGATTTACTGTAGTTCATAGTGTTAGAGGGTTGAGTCCAGGTTGTCCGGCCACCCACTGCTTAGACAGAGCATAAGGCAGTGAGGACAGTTGGTGGAAGAGAGTTGTTTGACTCATGGAAACAGGAAGCACAGAGAGAGAGAAAGACTCAAGACCAGTTATAACCTTCAAGTAACTTAGTTCAGCTAGTCTCCTCACTTCTCAAAAATTCCCAAATAGTACCACCAGCTAAAGGTCAAGTGTTGACACTGGAGCCTGTAGGGTATTTCCTATCCAAACTATAACCGCTACTCTTTCCATAGTTGCAAAACAGAAAGTCAAGGGGCCTTATCAAGTAATTTTCTTTCATTCAGGTTAAATATCCATAGACTACAATCTTCCTTCTAAATTTTCTGCCTCTGGTGCCTTCTCTTCTATTTACTGCTTAAGGTAAAAGATGAAAACCACAATATCATCTTCAAGAGATAAGAGGATGGAGATAATAAAGACCCACACAGACTACTGCCTTCAAAGGTTTCCCCACATGCCTTTGGGAGACACCCAGCTTAGCTCCACACTGGTGGAAGACCTCTGTTGACAGAGGGAAAGCTTTTAGTAACAAAGCTACTTTTTCCTTTGGGTGGATTCCCTGCAACAAGAGAGACGGGGAGGAGAAAGGCCAGTGGGGCCAGTAGCCTGGCCAGTTGCCGTAAATTCTAACTCCTTTTGAGAGATGGAGCCTTCCCAAAGAATGAGAAAACCCCGCATGTGAGCCAGGGAGAAGATCCAACAACCCACATTTCTGCTTTGGGCTAGGATGAATACCACCTCTTGAAAAGACTGGCTCTGCAATTACCACTGAATAAACAACCAATTAAAATGTCTTCTTTCCCCCTGTGTCTTCGTCCGTGAAACTTTTTCATCTCAGAGTGTAGGGGCAGAGAGGTGGCTTTCTCTAATAAACTGTCTTCTCTGCCTGGGAGATCATTTGAGGGAAATGGGTAAACCAGCTAGCAAAGACAATGTAGAAAGGGTTGCTCCAAGACAAATCTGGGCTCCTCTGCATTTTCACTCTTCTCTCTGCATCATTTTTCTATTCCTCGTGGGCTGGGGTCAACTTAAAAGAGAGGGGAAGTGGGAATTGTTAGGCATGCATAGAGTGCACTTGGCCTTGTAACTAGTTGTGTGACCTTTGCACCCCTGTTCCTCCATCTGTAAGATGGGGATACATGAAAATTACTTAATCTGTACCAGGGTTCTCTGTATGCCGGTCATCACCCAGACTCATTTCCAGTTCCATTATTAACTTCCTTAATCCTCTGAATAACTCTAGGAATGGTGTTCCATTATCATTCTTGTTCTCTATATAAAGAAACTTGAACAAAGGAAGGTAAGTAATTTGCCCACAGACCCTTGATATTAAAAAGATCTGGATTCAAACCTGGAGTTGCATAGCTTGGGAGTAATCCATCTTACCCATGCTATACACTGAAGTGCCAGAAATGAGACATGTGCACTCCAATTGGCACACTGGCATACTGCAAGTACTCAATAAATGCTGACTTTCTCAACCCTCATTCCAATCTCAGATATCAGAGTTATTTGAACTCCTCATGAGGCCTGTAGTAGAAGAAGCTAGATGTGGTCCCTAGAGAAAGGCACTCAATTGCAAGATTTTGAGTCAATATTTTAGCTTACAACAATATCCCTGGAAGTAGCCACTATGAGCCTGTGTTTCCTACCCCATTAATCTTTTCTTCTGACAAGTCATCAAATTGATGATCTTATGGAAGTTTGGCCTCGTAGAGACCTATGATGGGAGTGGCCAGAATGCAGTAGCTGTCACACATCATATCCTATTTCAGATTGGAGTAGAGATGAGGCAAATGCAGCCTCTGAGTCAGAAATCACTGAACCCGAGACCAGGACCTCGATATTTTAGCTTCCATATTGGACAATTTAAATTCAATTCTACCAGTTTTTACAGAGGTCTCACAGCATACATACCCTCAGCCAAATGCTAGGTACTAAGAGAAGAACAAAGCACCTTCTCTATATGCTGCTGCCCTAAGAAGGTGGTGTATGGTGTATGTACACAGAAAAACATGAACACATTTCTAACCTCACCCAACAAGGACTGTCAGCTACTCACAAGAATTCCTGAAGAGCAGGGTGGCAGATGAGAAGCGTGAGAGGGTAGCTTTGGAAATGAGCACAGAATGCTTGTGACTAACCCAAACAGAGAGCAGAGGCAACCTCTTACACATAGTGTTTCTGCTGTAGTGTGGGAGTCCACCGAGAGTAGATTCTTGTTTCTTGAGTACATAGAACACAAGTCTCCTTTTTCAAAGCCCCTCTCTCTCCCTCATTCTCTGTCTTCCCTCACTCTCACTTTTTTGTTGTTTCTCTCTCCTTCTCTTCTCCCTCTCTCATTTCCTGGCTCCCTTACCAACAAATTTCTCTCTGAATTGAAGAACTGATTACTGTAGCATGAAGAGTTCTTTTCTTTCTGAGGTATTACCACCTCAATGACAGCAACCCCAAACACAACATCTTTAGTCTATTTTAGAGATAATAAAATAGAGTTTTACAGAATGCAGAGTGATCGATGGGTGGCAGCATGATGCCTCAGTGAAAAGAAAATACATTTCCAAGCAATCCATCATTTACCTTGAACCCTGGTGCAGTATCATTGGGTAACCTATTTAAAAACATTGGACTATACATTTCTCATCTTTAAAAAAGTCATAAGGCCTCCTTACAAGAATGATGTAGAAATCACAAACACCTATGACAGCCCCACATTTTCCAAGTAGATGACCAAGGCCCATAGTGAATGAATGAGAGAGAGAAGTCAAGACCAGAGTATATGTTATCTTACCCTTGTTCTGTGTTCTTGTTCTATGTTTCTATTATGTGACCCTCTCCTTAAACAAAATAACAGTCCTTAGAAATATGAGCATTGGTTCTTAGTGCATCTAGATTCCAAAGTGAACACAGCTATTCATAGATAAACTTAATGTGTTTTCCTTTCAGTAAAATGGGATAATATAACATTTTTATAGAAGTTCAACCGTATGGTGCTTATGAAGAGTTTAGATGCTGTGTCCAGTAAGAGCTCCTGATCATGTGGGGGAGATCCTATTATTTGAATACTATCTTTGGTGTACAGTGATAACAGCCAAGTTTTCTTTTGTGTTTCAGAGCCTACTTGGATGTCAATGAGCTAAAGAACATTCTTAGATTGGATGGATCAACACATCTCAATATTTTCTTTGCAAACTCTTCAGAGGAGGAGTTGGCGGGAGTGGCAACTTGGCCATGGGACAAGGAGGCCCTAATGCACTTGGGTGAGTCTTAGATGCTCCTTTAGAAGTAACTCAGAGCAAGACAGCGTGGATCTTAGTGTGAGGAAGAAGTCAGGACAACCCTAATGGTGCAGGTAGCAGTAGGAATGGAAATAATTCATTTATTTGTCTAATTCACAAAAAAAGCGGGTATCCCTGACACTATTTTTGATGGCGTGGCAATACTCTGAAGGAACTAGCTTTCCTGAGATCCAGAGAGCAAGCAGGGTTTATCCAAAGTTATGCACATCAGCGAGGAACCCTCAGAGCTCAAGCTTCTGACAGTCCAGAAACTGCATTCTTCTTGTACCTCCTTTGCCTAATTCATGCATACTTCTTGCCCTGCTAACCACATTATCCTGCCACAGTGGGGCTAAAGGCAATCCTGAAAGACACCAAAGAAGCAACAGAAATAGAATATATAGGGACTTCTTCAGCCATGTTCTGTCTACTAGCAGCATGACATTTAAGTTATGCATATCCATAACACATCAGTTTGGACTGTCTAATCTCTGAAAATCAGAAATGGCAGTCATTTCTGAAACAGGGATTGTAAAAAAAAAAATTCCAGTCTGAGTTTTTTCCCCATATTCTTGTCCAGTGCACAGAAATATGTTAGAGGCAATTTTTGCTTATATAGATTTGAAACTATAGTATAGGCACAATTTTCAAATCTCCTTTTCATTTGATGATCTAGGCTAGAAATATGTTTCCATATTCCAGGAGTTATACAATTATTTCCTGTCCTACATTTTTTTTCACTTAAAATCACAAAAGAAAAGCATCACTCTGGGTTATTTACATTTCACTAAAGATTTTTTTTTCTGTTTTAATTGCCATCTAATATTCCATTGAGCAAGGCAGTCCAGTGGGTTTAACAGTTTTCCCTCAATAAAATGCTCCCATTATTTATCACAATGAGTCCTGATGATTCAGTGAGATTCATGATTTGAAAATTCCAGGACTCAGCACAGTGGCAGTACTGGATGCATTCTTGGGCCAGCATGGTCACCCTATAGTAAACTCTGAGTCTAGTAGCTGCTCTTCATCTATGGTATTTTGAAGATGAAGAATTCTATAACTTCAACTGGAAAACAGCTGAAGAAAGCTGTGCTAAATCAAATCATGGGCTTAGTTCTCTCTTATTTTTAGGGGAATGAAGCTAGTGTGTGTGTGAGAGAGAGATGGGAGAGGGAGGGGGAAAAAGAGAGGAAAGGAGCACTTTTCCCCCTAAGCGATATATACAAAAATAAATAAATGTTCTCAACGGAGACATGTCTAGTCCCTAAGAGACTCTTGTCAATTTTGATCATTACATGGGGCATGCTACAGGCATCTAGTGAGTAGTAGTAATGAAGCCAAATATTCTACAGTGGCCCCAACAAAGAATTGGATGCTCTAAAACGTCAATGGTGCTTAGATCAGGAAACCCTGAAATCTGAGATAAGTGGTAGAAGGATAGACAGACATTCAGACACAGATAGGTATTGAGCAGGAGAAATTGTACAATTCATGCAAATCTGAAAATGCTTTGCCTTTATCGCTTGTTTAGGGAGTCCTGGGAAAGTGATACTAGACTAAAGCCAAAGGCATGGTTTTTCTCATCCTTAGCAAGATGGCCTTAGGCAAGATTCCTTCCTTGGATTTGTTCCCTAACATTTTGAAGAGGCAGGTTAACTAGATGACCTCCCAGTGTCCTTCTAAGCTGCGAAATTTGCTCCTATTGAAACAAAAGCAACCAGAGCTCCTGATCAGCATCTGGGGAGGAGAACAGTGGGCTTCTAACATTAGAGAGAAATACTCCCGATGATTTCATGAACGTCAGAGCCTGGATCAGGGCCAAGAATAGGGGAGGCTGTAAATCCATAGCATGTTATAGTATTTCAGAATGATGTCAGGCTCAAGCTATTTCACCTTTTCAGACAAGCAATGAAACAGGACTTGGGGCCAAGGGCTGTCATTCTGTGGGAAAGGGTCAGTTGGGGTAGAATAAACAGAGTCAAGCTGGACGGTTAAGTCAGCTCTCTTATCACCATCCCTAGGCTGGTCCTGCCCCCCTGTTAACTGCACGGCTTCATGGAGAGACCATGGGACATAGCACTGCTGTAGTTGTTTAGTTGAGAGCTTCCTAGAGAAACAAAGCCAGTTTCTCAGAAGCATAAGAGCCATGTGAGGCAGGAGGATTGCAAGTAATGTCATGCTGGTTCCATTGGCCTGCAAGCTGCCAGCTCACCACCAAAGTGGCTGATCATAAGCAATTCCTGGGCAGCAGCCTCAATCAAACTAAATTTATTGGAACCATAGTTTTTACTCTTCCTTTCCTGCTGTTACTCCATTATCCCTGGAATAAGACTTGGGTGGGAAAGGGATTATGTTTCAGATTATGATTGACAGAAAATAATTGAGAAAGATTCCCCGTCTCAATTCAGTTTCTCTTCTTCTCCTGCCTCTGCCTACCCTTCTCAACACACACACACACACACACACACACACACACACACACACACACACACACACACACATCTTTATCTTTGTGTTAGAAGTCTCCAAGCAATTCAGAATTGAGACTCTATGAGGCTGAGGACAGACCAAGAAATTCAGTCCAATATAAAACTTGTCTCACATCCACCCTGAACATACCATTCCAACTCTACAAGGAACTACAGCCCTGTCCTTCCTCATAAGACACTGCTCTGTGCTTAACGTCTCCACTTACAAGGCTCTCATACCCGAATTTTAACCTTCTCTTAAACACTGCCAGTGTTTAAAGTTTTAATCTTTCTCTAGACACACAGCCCAGGTGTCTCATCCCAATGTCTAAGATGCATATGGAACAAGTACTATCTATTGCTTCTACTGAAGTTTGTTCTGTCTCTACAAACTGGGTGATTTTCCCTTTTCAGGGATGTGAGGTATAGTTCTTTATTTCTCAATCCAGAGCAGGCAGATGAGTCATCTAGGGATCTTGTTAAAATGCAGATGGTGATGCTCTAGGTCTGAGTTAGGGCTGAAACTCTTTTCTGCTAGCTTCATAGGTAGTTTGTATACTTTTTGTTCTCATGTAGGTAGACAACAAATAGCTATTTGATGTCTTCCAGGGGTTACTCCACCTGCTAAAAGTAATTAGTTAGGTCTCACAACCCTTTTTAGATGTGTTATCACTCTTCAAATATTCTACACATTGTTAATCAGTGTTCCAGTCTTATTCTGTTGATTTGATAGAACACTTAGACCAAAAGCAACTTAGGAAGGAAAGGGCTTATTTAGTTTATACATCCAGGTCACAATCTATCTTCGAGGGAAATCAGGTCAGGAACCTGGAGGCAGGAAGCATGGAGGACTGCTGCTTTCTGGCTTACTCTCTAGCTTTCTCTCTCACTAGTTTATGCTTAGATTTTGTACAGCTCAGGCCAATCTTCAAGAGGAATGGTGCCACCCACAGTGGGTTGGGCCTTCCTACCTAAATGAATAATCAAGACAAACCCTCAGAGACATACCTAAGATCAACTTCATCCAGGAAATGCCTCACTTGAGGCTTCTCCTTTCAGATGACTCAACTTTGTCCAGTTGACAATCAAGGCTTACCACAAAAATCATATACTATTCTCTAGTCTCTGTGATAGTCATTAATACTGGGACAGAGAATAGGAGCCCTGAACTTAGAGCCCAAGAATGTTGACTTCAAATTCTATCTCCATATTTCTCTCAATCACGGGTAGATCATTCAGACTCTGTGGATAAGTGTCTTTATGTTTGAGTTATGATGTGATAAAGGGAGGCATACCCATTAAAGACTCAGCCCAGTATTGGAGGATACATAATAAATGCTCAAGGAACATCAGTTGGTATTATAAGCAATCCTTTAACAGAGTACAACCCAGTGCCAGCTTTCCTACGTGTTCTTGTTTTTTAGAGCACCAGAGACGAAGGCATGAGATTCAAAGATGGTAACTAAGTTGTGGGATGTCACAGAGTTAATGAAGGCATAACGAAAGCCAGAGCTGAGGATTGTGAAACTGTATGAGGGTTACATCTATATAGGAGCATTCAAAATGAGTGTAAAGTATAGCATATACTACAGTCTAAGGAATAGGTTACAGTAGAAAGTCAGGACAGGGCAGAAATCGAAATCCCTTACTTGGAGTAGTGTGTTTTCAGTAGATTAGCATCACCTTGGGCTAGTGCTACTCCTCCCTAGGCATAAGTGTTCTCGATTAAAACATGATACAAAGTGATTCACAACACTCCTACCCGTTTGTTTACCAGTGACTTACCACAGAGTTGTGACACCCCTGGAGCACTAGGCTCAGAGAATGAGGAAGACTGTCATTTTAAGTAGCATCCCTTTGTCTTTGATTGACTTAGGGACTCCTCTAGCCTGAAGCAGACAGTTGCCTAATGCTCTGGTTTTCCCCTTGCAGGCGGCATTGTTTTGAACCCATCTTTCTATGGCATTCCTGGACACACCCACACCATGATCCATGAGATTGGGCACAGCCTGGGCCTCTATCACATCTTCCGTGGCATCTCAGAAATCCAGTCCTGCAGTGATCCCTGCATGGAGACAGAGCCCTCATTTGAAACTGGAGACCTCTGCAATGACACCAACCCAGCCCCCAAACACAAGTTTTGTGGAGACCCTGGACCAGGGAATGACACTTGTGGCTTTCATAGCTTCTTCGACACTCCTTACAATAACTTCATGAGCTATGCAGGTAGGGCCCTCCACATCTCCAATGGAAGTCCAATCTGACACATGTCAGACTTGGGCTCTAGTCCTGGCTCAGGGTAGCCTTGAACAAATCGCTAATTTTCCTTAGATGGAGGCTTTTCATTCTAAACAATCAGAATAGCATTAATTCATAAGCCTTTCTGGAGTACAAGAGAGATATTGTATATGAATGTATACCAGATGGCTGAGACAAAAGTCAGTAAATCCAGGTAGAAGAACTTTGTGGGTCTGACATTCTGGGTCATCTACACTCTACCTCTGCTTTTTACAGAAAACCCAAATCTTCAACTTGATCTATAAGGTTCCTCGTAGTTTTGCAGCTGTATTGCTCTACCTTGGTGCATTATTGAAGTTTTTTATTTAGCCAGCATCTCCCTTGCATACATACTATCTTCATATGCTCATTCACTACTGGGGGCTGGAGAAAAAGAATTCATTCTGTCTTAAGAAGACAAAATTATCACATTTTTCTGACTGCTTTTAACTTATTAAGCCCCCTAGATGTCATCAGAAACAGTATTAAGGACTTGTGATCTAGGTCCCAGGATGCCCTGTGCTTCCTGGTAGCTCAGGCCACATTGAGGCCAATTAAAGCCATTTTATCAGCTTTGACAAATTAGAATACAACACTCCTTCCTTGGGGTGGTCACAGCCCTGATTATGCTTCGCTGTGATCAACTGTCCACAATTGCACACAGTAGGCCAGTACTGAATCCCATCATAAGACCCAACTCAGTCATCTCTTTCCTCACTAGAACAAGTAAATTCTATAAAATAAGAGATTGTCTTTTTTGTCTCACAAAGAAAATGAATAAACTCTCTTTTTTTTCATGTAATAATTTAGCCATGCTAGCTTCTTTTCTGAGGTATATAAAATTGTTTCTGCCAATAATAGTATTTTCCTCAGTGTAACCATTTATTGTCTATAAAAGATTTCAATATGTTCCCTCTCATTCAGTTCTCATAGCACATCTATGAAGCGGGAACCATTCCATTTTTCAGATGACAATACTGAGGCTGATTGAGGTCATTTGCTTCTGATGACACACTACACACTGTTCTTTCCCCTTTCTGTCTTATGCTATTCTTTTAAAGAGACCTAGCTGATATTGAGGTGGGGAAACTGAATAATCTGGATGATGTTTTCACTCTGTTCGATGCAGATGCTCTGCTTGATGTGGGAGTAAGGCTGAAGGTCCTAATTCAGGTTTGAACCAGGAAAGGCCTCCGCCAGCTGTTTCATATTCCTGTTAGAGTTTTGATACATGTGATTGAAAAGGGATTTTGCTGGTGAAACCCAAAATATTTGATGATCCCAATGGCCCTTACTGTTTCCCATTTAGACTGATTACTCCTGGGGGATTTCTAGTGTTTGTCTCACGCAGCTTAAAAGTGATGTCTGTTGAAAAGTGAATAACCCATCTCTGAATCTATAAAGTGTCTTTAAGTTTGGTTCTAAAAACAGCCACAGTGCTGGGTATTTCCTCAAAAACAGATTCCGAGTGGGCTCCCATGCCCAAACCTACAGACCCTCCACATCCGGCGCCCTGTGCCCTCAGACAACCCTGTTTACGGCCATCTCTGCAGCACCTTGCCTCGGCCAGCTCAGCACACATGGGAAATAAATACTAATAAGAGTCTGGAAGTTTGCCTGCTTCTTAGGGGCTGGGAGCTTCCACCCGCTACCAGATCCCCATAAACTAAGTCTCCTTTTTGTTTCCCTGTGAGAAGATCTAAAGGGTGATTAATTTAGTATTGTTGTTCTTAAAGGATCTCCTCAGCTCAGTGACCATCAACAGCAGAACTAATTCACTGAGCTACGATACCAAACTTCCACCCACAAAAACATATTCAAGGCGAGCGTGAGCTTGGAAATGTTTGTTTGCTCTAGGACCTCTGATAGATGAGGTGACAGAAGTAGTTGGATGAAATTCAAAGTGCAGAACAAAATGGGGTTCTCAGAGCTGAAGGAAGGGATGCATGGGGCTCCCGTCTTCCAGAACAGAGGGCAGAGTCATTGCCAAGTTGACTTCTTCCAGCTGCCTCTCCTTGCTGGGTGCTCATTCCTTAAGGCAGATCTGCCTGCCAAGATGGTCACAGCTTATGTGTGTGCTTTTCAGTATAATAGCTGTTAGTTATCTATGGCTACTAAGCACTTTAAATATAGCTGATGCAACTGAGTACATGAATTATGACCCTTAAAATATTTGAACTAATTTATATGGAAAAGGCCACATGTTCTGATGGCTACCATATTGGTCTTTGAAGACCAACAACAATTGAGTATCTCTGATATACAAGAAACTATATATAAAATAATGTAAATTAACCCAAAGAGATAAATTGCTATATAATTAATATAACCAGTTTACAGGTGCAAAACATGTGGTCGAAGAGCAGAAAAAAACTTGCCCAGAGGCAAAGACATAAAACAAGACAAATGTATTACTTAAGCCCAAGCCTTTCTTACCACAGAGTCTGAGTTATTAACCAGTCACTTTACTGTTCTGAGGCTCCCAAGTGGTCCAGCCTAGAAGGTAACAGGCAGCTGATGTATCTCTCACACTACAGTAGAAAACACTAAGGTATATGTTTGTACTAAACTAATGGCTAAGCCCTTGCCAGATAGGAAGCAAATCTGCCCCCAACTTCCTGAACATAGCAAGCTGTACTTAAGAGGTATTCCAAGATTACTTGTCACAGACTATATGAGCCTAGAATTTTTTCCAGCCTCTTGGTTATGGTAGCATCTTTCTATGTGTCAGGAACTTCTAATATGCATACTTGCATTGAACCAAACAGTCCAGTCTCCAAAGAATATAGCTGAAGCAAATAAACCAATTGATGTGTTTAAATATTTAGCAGTAAGAATGTTCTTAGCAGTGTTCCCTCTCTAAATATTTACTGTTTACTATATGCCAGGCACAGGAAATAAATGTTTACCTACGTGAAAAAGTAAAAATGTCTTACAAGCTTGAAGTGAATAGAAAACTGAAATGAACTGCAAAGCATCCCACATGACAGAATGTTGTGACACCATTGAACAGGATGTAGAATACGGCTTGGGGACATGACATTCCAAACATGGGATGTTGTGTCAGGAACCTGAAATTGAAGTGCCTACATTGTAATATTTGATTATAGGCAAATTATTTCTTTTCTCAGAGCCTCCTTTACTTTATCAATTCATAGAGAACTCTTATATTGAATGACAACAGATAGGATCATACAGGGAAAGAATCTAAAACTGTCCTTGGCAGGATGAATGGTGCTTAACAAATAATAACTAGCCTGATTATTTATTAACTATTTGATGTGTAGAACACCCCAGTCATATGTGTAAGACACATATATGATAAGAATTACAGAAATTTACTATATTCACACCCATAATGTATGTATACATGTATACACACATATGCATTATCACTAATTTATTTATAGGTGCTGATCTTAGGGTGATGTTTATTTGGGGTACATTTCAAAACCTTTACAGTGAGCATAGCTTTTATAACCATATTTTACTGAAACTATTGTTACGATTTTAAAAACAGAACCCAAACAACAAGCTTTTACAAAAGCTGACCCATTTACCTATGTACTGTCAGCGAGCTTGTTAAATGCTCGCATCAGCTTTTTGAGGAAGGCACTGCTACCATTCCTCCTATTGCAGTGAGTGGAAATGAGGCTGCCAGGGTTAGCAATTTGTCCAAGCTCCTACAAGAGGTAGAGTTACTGATTGTCTGTCCTGATCCTCCATGCAATGCACCCCTCAGAACATGACTTAGGCAGCAAGCCTGGAGCCCTGCAGCAATAACAGCACAGTGGCCCAAAAAGTGTCTCCAAGAGCTGAAGTGCTCACTGTCTCTTATGCTGAGAGACAAAATGGGAGCAGAGGAACAAGATGAGCCTGGAGGCCTAGATAAAGGGACCACAGATGGTAGAAGTGGGGCTGTTTGGGGCTGGAAGCCAAGGGGGCTGACTCTAGACATGAGCTAATTGAAACAGAGCATTTATGATGAATGGAATCCCTTTGGGATTTTGCCCAAGATTCTGATAGTAGCTAAGTCTCAGTGTGATGTAACCTGGGACAGATGTTTTCAACTTAATACGCTTCAAATGTGTTCCTGTTCCCCTACTAACTTCTACCACTTATCCATTTTTCAAACTGTTTCCCATTGACAAACTGGGAATGGTTACTATTTAAATTATAAAAGGAAAGCATACATCTTTGAAGAAAATTAATTAGAAGTTTATAAAGAAAAAATACCTCATACTTTCATCCTCCGTCATCTTGTTAAGTGTTTACTGTGCCCCGTTTGAATCCTTACTACCGTGCTAGGTTTGAGTTGATTTAAATACCCCTAATTTATGTATCAGGAAACTGACTTATAAAGGTAGGAGGTTTGGTAGTGCTCGGTTAGTATTTTATTTTAAGGATGTCCTTAAAATATATAGTCAGTCCTCCATTAGTGAAGATATATATTAATATTTTTGGTATAGTGGTAATACTTCAGGAACCACCTCCTATTCAGTGATTTGCCTCATCTCTGTTCATCAACAGAGTCCATATGTGGAGTCCATAATGGGCTAGTATTAGACCGCAAAGAATTCACCATTTATACTCTGAGATTTGTTTCTTCCTTCTCCAAGTTTCTGATACACACATACACAAACACACACACACACACACACACACACACACACACACACACACACACACACACAAACACACACCCCTACTTACTTTACTCACTTCCCCGGAACATAAGGCAGTGAGCATTTGCCACAAAGTGGACACAGTTCTTGTGCCCTACGCTCCAGCTCAGCCATATTCTGAGATGAACCCTCTCATTATCACTATTGTCTCCACCTCATAGATGAGAAACGGAAGTGCCAAGTGCGTAGACACTTGCTCCCTTGACTCTGTGTCTTGTACACCATACTTTTTTATGAAGCCATCAAGCCTTCCACCTACATCAGATCTACTTGGTAGCTCTTTCCAGGCCTCCAGGACACAATGTACAAATCATAGTGGTGATAGAAAATGAACCTTTGATCTGGTCGTCCTCAGGCTGAGGTGTGTGTTTTCCTGGCAATAGGTAGCCACAGGATTTAGGGAGTTACATGGTGGACCTGGCCTTGAGAGAGATTTACTACCTCTCCTGTGCAATACTTGCAAAGGAACACTGGGCTCTTCTGATTCTGCCAAACGTCTTAAAATTTTCCCTCAGGGTGCAGAAAAGGAGACTCTCAAAACTTAATAAGGCAATCCAAGCCAGCCTCTGCATATAAACTCTCCCATACCCTTGTCCATTCCCTTCAAGGTCATATCTAGTGGCCCAGCACCTGCCCAAACTTATTTTGTTTGGTTGATAAGGAGAAGCAAGCTTATGCTGCTGGATTCCAGTAGCACATTTATTTTTAAGATCTGGTGAGCTCCACACTCCTCTGTCCGGGGCCCAGCTGTGGTAATCCTGACCAAGCAGACACCCCTGAGAAGTGGTGCATTAGGAAATCAAGCCAAACAGTGCCTTTTTTTCTGTTCCCAGGGGAGCTGAATCATACTGTTGGAGAAAGAAACTGGAGACAAACCTCTTCCCTAGAGGCTAAGTCTTTGGTCTCTGCCCTCAGTCCACACCCTGGAAAAGGGAGAATAGGACTGAAGGTCATTATATCTAGACACCTGAGAGACTGTTTCCAATCCCCTTTAGAATAGAACTGGATCAACTCTCATTTACAAACCACCTGCTGGAGACTTGACCCATAATATAGTTCACTTGTGCTTAGAAAAAAAAAGTTATGGCATCATTTGGAAACACAACTTTGGTTCAAGCCTCAGATAGGCTTTCCTCTATGACCTAGCAAAAGTTGCTTGCTTGAACACAGACTCAGTTCCCAACTCTGTAAGGAACAGAAAATGGTAGTATGCACTCCAAAAGTAGCATGTGTTAGGAGAGAAAGGGTAACTGTCCAAAGCCTGGCACACCATGCCTGGCTCCTACTTAACACATGCTAAGAATATGTCCCACAGACACACATACACGTGTGCTGTAAGGAGATGTGCTTGCTTTTGCCCTCACCTGGGCTGTATTTTTTTTTTTTTTTTTGTCAACTTGACCCTAGCCAGGGTCATTTGAGGAGAAGAAACCACAGTTGATGAATGCTTCCATCAGATTGGCCTGTAGGCAAGTCTATGGGGATTTTTTTTTCTTGGTTAATTAATGATTGATGTAGACGGACTCAGTTCACTTTGGGCAGTGCCACCAACAAGCAGGTGGTTCTGGTTTGTATAAGGAAACTGGTTGAGCAAGCCATGGGGAGCAAGCCAGTTAGCAGCATTCTTCCATGGCCTTTGCTTCAGTTCCTGCCTCCAGTTACCAAACTTGAGTTCCTGCCCTGACTTCCCCTTAAGATGGACTGTGATATGGAAGTATAGCTAATTACACCGTTTCCTTTCCAAGTTGCTTTTGGTAATGATCTTTATCACAGCAATAGAAATCCAACTAAGGTGTCACCCTATTCACAGCCTGGAGTGCATGTCCAGGCCTTGCCTGAGCCTTACAGGGAATATTATGCCTCTAGCTGCGTAGTTACCTCTCTTGTGGTCACTTTCTTTCTCAACCCCAACCTAGTGATCCAATTGACCTCGTATATACAACTATCTTGGGTGCCTTCATAGTTGCTCCTTCTTCCCCACACGCCATCCCTATCAAATCACTGATGATCTACATGACATTAGTTGTCACAGAACAACCCTCGCTCATGAGATGAGTACCGTTTATGCCATCCTTAAGGGCAGGGATATTTTAAGTCCCATCTTTCCACATCCCATCTTTCCACAGACTGGCTTACAGTACTGGACATGAATTAGACATTTAATAAATGTGTTTCAAGTACAATATCACTGCATTAGTGAAAAGTAGACTTGATAAACGCATGATCAAATGAATGCGAAAGAATACAATAGGGAACTAGTGAGCACATAAATGAGTGAATGAATGAAGAAATGAATGAGAGCAAGTGAATGGGGTGGAGACATTGCTGACTTGGGAACCAGAGGGTATAAGGTCCCTGGAAAGAAACTTGTCTTGCCCTTGTCCTTAGCTGTAACTTCTTAGCAGCTATCTCCTCAGTTCCAGGCTTATTTTCCAGTGCTACCCACCCTCCTTTCCCTCCTGTTTCCTCTCACCTGTCTCCAGGAGTGATGACTGCACTAATTTGTTCACACACCATTAACTTCTGAGCACTGGAAGAGGCTGCCCTGAGCTGGCGAGGATGGACTGGGGTGCTGGCTCTCTAGCTGCATGGAGACTCTTTCTTCTCTTGCATGCCTGCCTATGCAGCTCAAGGCTTATCACTCTCTCTCCCCACTCTCGCTCTCTCTGACTCTTACAGATGATGACTGTACAGACTCTTTCACGCCCAATCAAGTCTCCAGAATGCACTGTTACCTGGACCTGGTATACCAGAACTGGCAACCCTCCAGAAAGCCAGCACCTGTAGCCCTTGCCCCCCAGGTTGTGGGCCATACAACTGACTCTGTGATGTTAGAGTGGTTCCCACCCATCGATGGCCACTTCTTTGAAAGGTGAGTGTTTCTTGTGGAGTGCTGATCCCTTTCTCCTCCTGCCAGAAAGAGAAAGACTCAGAAAGGAGGCAGCCTTGGAGGGTTGGACTTATTTTTCTTGTTAAATAGAGACCCCACTATTCATCAGTGACTGGGACTCAAAAGCACACTGACAAGTTTGGGTCAGAGAATAAAAGAATGTTACCAGAAATGAGCCAGTAATGACGCATACTTCCACATAAATGAGAGGGTAAATTCACTTTATTATTAGAAGCTTGGAAACCAGGGTGGATGCGAAATGAAATCCTAATGCAGCCTACTCTAGTGGTACTTGTCTTTAATCTCAGCACTTGGGAGGCAGAGACAGGCAGATGTCTGTAAGTTCTACACTAGCCTGGTCTATACAGTGAGTTCTAGGACAGGCAGGGCTATGTAATAAGAGACTTTATCTCAACTCCACCAATTTACTCACCCACCACAAAAGAATTTTGAGTACTTCTATTGCAAGAAATCTTTTCTGCTATTGTCTCCATTAGCCCAGGAGTTAAAATTGCCTCTGGTTAATAGGAAGAAAACCTTCTCATGTTAAATATATATAATTCACGTTATATACAATGTGCCTATATGTCACTATTCATATTTGCAAAGGCCTATGGTTATATATAACCATAAAGTGGATACCGAGTATATTTTGAGAATACCAAAGACTAATCAAGTGTGAGAAACCAAAGCTCTGCCTCCTGGTCTGTCACTTGTCATTTGAATGCCATCTGACATGTCAATCCCCCCAGATTTTTAACTGTCTTCCACTGAAAATATGTCTGATTATGCCTTCTGATGGTCAGAAGGTGGAGACCTCAATTCAATGACTTCTCATGTGTCCTTTCACTGTAGACTCCCAAGGAGCTCAAGCTCTGAGGGAACCAGATAAAGATTCATAGCTAGGCATGCAGTTCAATGGTAGAATGCTTGCATTGCATGTGTGAGGCCAAGAATCCAACCCCACCACTGCAAAAATGAAAATGAATATTCATAAAAATAGTCTACATCTATTTCAGAATCTTGCAGTTATTCATTATTCAGGTAATATCTCACTTCCACCCTTAGCCCTTCTTGGGATAATTATCCCGCAATGTGGATATAACATTGAGGATGGTGAGGACAATAGCCATGCTAATCATTAATTTGTCTTTTTCTGCTGGGCTTGCAGCTGACCGTCAATTGCGTACCGTGTGATAGATTCTAATCTGAATGCTTCTTGTACAGAGTCTTAGTTAATATTCCCAGTAACCAGGTATAAGGGTGATTGGTTTCCTTATGTGCCAGATAAGGAGAGCACTGGAGCTGAAAGAGTCTGAGAAATTTGGTCAAGAGCTCATAGAAAGTGCTGGAATCTGGCATTCCACCACATTTGGAAATGTCTTGTCTATGAATCCTATATGCCTTCATTAAGTCGTTCCAGACTAAAGGTGTGAAGGAGGTATTAGGTTTCCTCACAAAAGCTGGCAAAAATCCTCTCATTTACAAGTAGTGTATATGTGTGTTTGTGTGTGTGTGTGTGTGTGTGTGTGTGTGTGTGTGTGTGTGTGTGTATATATATATATATATATATATATATATATATATATATATATTGACATAAGCAAAAGACCTCAAATGAGATTTCTCAGGGGTAAAGATGTAAATAGCTAATAGATCATTTTTAAATGCTTATTGTCACTAATTACCAGAGAAATGCAACTTATACATGAAATGATTTATCTATCACCTCACAGTCTTAAAATGGCTATTCCCAAAACACACTAAAGATTTGGCAAAGCTTGTGAGGAAAGGGAATCTTGTATATTGCTTGTGGGAATGTAAATGAATACAGCCATTATGGAAAACAATGTGGATGCACCTCAGAAAACCATACTAGGACTGTGTGGTTCAGCTCTGGCACTACTGCATGCATATCCAAAATAAAAATTAAACCAGAGGCTCGGAAGGTGGCTCAGTAGTTAAACCACTTACCATTTAAGCATGTGGATCTGGCCAGGTCCCCAAACCCCAGGAAATTCTGGAAGGACATGGCCTAGGAGAGTGGAGACGAAGGTTCCCAGAGTAAACTGGCTGGCAGGACTAGACATAACAGTGAGCCCTTGATTTGATTGAGAGACCCTGCCTCCATGAATAACATGGAAGAGCAACAGAGGGTGGGTCTTGACATCAGAGTCAGGCCTCCACTACAGGTATGCACACACACACACACACACACAAACGTACATACACATATGTGCACACACATGCAAAAATGCAAACACAGGTGCAACACACATACACACACACACACACACACACACACACACACATACAAAGAAAAATGAAAAAAAAAAGATCAAATCTATCAGTAGAAAAGGCACCCTGTTTCATATGGTCTGTATTAGCATTATTCACGATAGCTAAGATGTACAAACAACCTGAATATCCTTTATCAGATAAAGAGTTTTAAAAAAATGCCTCTGTATACTGTGAAATATTAGCCAGCTAAAAGGCAGTAAGGAAACCCCGTCATTTAAAACACATAGAATGAGTCTAGAGGACCATTATGTTCATTGAAATAAGAAAGTCTCAGAAAGACAAATACTACCTTATCTCCATGATACATGGAATTTTAAAAAGTTGAACTCTTGTATATAGAGAGAACGATGCCTGGGAGAGGATAATGAATTTACAAGGATGTGAGAAATGGAGATGTTGATCAAAGGGTACAATTTCAATTAGATTACAGAAATAATCTTTGGTGGTCTTCTGCACACAAATATTATAATGAATGATAATGCTTTAAATATTTTTAAATGGTTAAAATAGTATATTTTAAGGATTTTTATCATACATACACAAAAAATGTTAGGTATAAGAGGTGATAGATTTGTCCATCACCCTCATTTAATCATTAAAAAAACTGTATAAAATTTTTATTTTATACTTTTAAAGTATACAAAATTAATATCTGTGAGTTAAAAATAACTTTAAAAATTAAAAACACATTATACTGTGATACTACATCAAATTGGGGCTCTAAATGTCTACACCACTATCAGTCACTGAATCTAGCGCTTTCCTTTTACATCCAGGCAAGAGTTCGATCAGTTAGAAAGGAAATGTACTCTCCAGGCTCTCTGTAGGAACTCCCTCTCCCTGGCCCCAGCCGCCCTTGCAGAACTCAGAGCTGGGCTTGGGAACACTCATGTGACACTTTGGAGCAAGCTTTCCAGCAGCCAGTAGATTTATTTATTTTCTCTGGGGTGATGAGAAGTATCAGACTTTTGGTCAAGCTTTGGCCTTGGTTCTACTTTTAAAACAAATGGAAGTTTTGTAAATGAAGCTTCCTGTGTATGTATTCAATTTATATTTCATAAGGCAGTTATTGTCCATTAAATAAATTCCACCTGATTGTTGGAAACCTATTAGAGGGTTAATTGTTGTGTAATGAGATGTGTCTGTATTGCATAGTACTCTTAACTTTAATCAATATGTTTTTAATAACCTATAGTCAGAGTACTCCAGGCATATACAATAGCTATTCTGTTCAGGGTAAGATTGCATAATGGAGTTATCACATGCTAAATTGAAACTGACATTTTTGAAATATGTCTAATTAAGCTTAGCAGCTATGTAAACTATAATCTAACTGAAGTTGGTCCATAAGTATCAATAAATTGCTGTCAAAAAAAGTGGCACTATATCTTTTGTGTATCACTCTCCCATAAGCAGGGAGTTTATAGTCCTACAAACTGATTTAGTATGAAGTCTAGAAGCTTTGATGTCTGGTCACACACACTCCCGTCACTGCCACCCTTAGCTTCAATGCTCCCAGTAGATGACCCTTTGGGCAAGACATTTCACTTCTGTGATCCTTAGAGTCCTCCTCCATAAAAAGGTGCTAACTTGCCCAGATAACCTGTGTCATGTGGGGAACTCAGCAAATTACATGTGTGATGTACCAAGCACACATATTCTGCACTGGAGGAATGTTAGCTTCTACCTTGTATGAGGTTTTCCAGAACTGTTTGGCTACTTGAAAACCCCTTCCCTTGATAAACCTTGGGTATTTTCCACACCATCCATCAATGCCAGCATCTAGCCCCTGGCCATGCTCATGTCCTCCTGCTGTTCTCACATCTGTGGTCTAGGAGAATACAAGGGTTTCCCTTAAAAAAACATAATCAGATTCCCCCACAGCCTGAGTCCTCACACAGGGGCAACTGAATAAATAATTCAAGGCCACCCCTGGTCTTTCTAACGCCTTTATTTTTAATCTGTCTTGCAAATGTGTTGGCTGGGTGGTTTCAGTTATCTGAACAATTGGCTATCATATGCTGGAAAGCATACTGGACTAGGAAGTGAGACCAGGATCTAAAGTCCCTGTAGATGTATCCATTCTTTCTGCTCCTTCAACTTCAGTTTTCTGATCTTTAAGTCAAAGAAGCTTAGCCTTGCCCAAGCAGAATTTCTCCTCCACGTCTCCTAACACATAAAACAATGAGTAATTTTCCCCAACAAAGGCTATACATACTAGTACCAGTCTAGCTGCAAAGGAGAGAGGCTAATTCTCTTTTTATCTAGGATGACCAGTGAAGTACCATTCAAAAGGATTTTATTTGTTAATGGGACTGTTTCATATCCACATTCACCAAGATAGCAGCCACATTCACCAAAATAGTGGCCATACAGTACTTGAAATTATGACTGATGTAATAAACGTTCAGAATTTTTTAAATATATTTTATATTACTTAGTTTAAATTTAAATGGCTGCATGTGGTTACCAGGCTCCTTGTTCAGTATCTACAGCTTTGAGCTTTGACTCAGATAAACCGTGTAAGAAAGATGAACTTGAATGCCTTTAATTCTAGACTTGGGAGGCAGATGCAAGCAGATCTCTGTGAGTTGGAGGCCAACCTGGTCTACAAAGTGAGTTCCAGGACAGCCAGGGCTATTACACAGAGAAACCCTGTCTTGAAAATAAAGAAAGAAAAGAAAAGAAAAAGAAAAGAAAGAAAAATGAACTCCCTCAATATTAGCATTCTACAGGTGTATGATTTTAGTGTGTGTGTGTGTGTGTGTGTGTGTGTGTGTGTGTGTGTGTGTGTGTGTGTATACAGGTGGGCGATAAAAATCAAACAAATGCCGTAGGGAGTTGGGGACGAAAGCATTCCCTGGATGTGTAGGATAGCACATACCACATTTGCAGTCAGCTGGAGAGTGATTTACTCATCACAGTACTTCTTGAGAACCAGACACATGGTAAGAGATCAGTGAAGTTCAAGTTATGCCTAAGGGAAGTGGAGAAACTCAGCAGCTGTCTACGTCAGCACAGTTTCTGAATCCATCACAGGGTATACATGATGTCACTGTTTTATCATCAGTCTTGTTACTCAGAGCCACTGAGCATGGAAGCTGACTTTGTTGGGGACTTCTGAAGAATCCCCCCAATTCCCTCTCTCCCTCCTTCTCTCCTTTCCTTGTTCCCTTCCTATAAGTATATTGGTATACTTAAGATGATAGTTCCTTTTCCAAAAGCAACTCACAAACTACTGCCAATATTTTGTTACATAAGCCTACCTGAATAGCACTGAGACAGCATTACAGGTTAAACTTGAATGTGTCTACTCTACTTAAGTTTATAGTAAATATGTTTTGCCTAAATATAGATATTTTATAATAACTATCATAATTATAGGTATTTTATAATAGCTGCCCACAATTCTGTTTATATTAACCTTGGAATGTTTAATTTCTTATTCTTTCACCAAGTGCTAATGTGCTTGCAAACCTTTTACTGATGTGTGCTTTCACATTTTTAACCACTGGGCTGAGAAGGCTCACCATGCTGTTTGAAGGTCTAGCTTAATTTAGCCACGAGTATTATATATGTGTCTGGGTGACTAATATTCACTCACCCACACATTTACTCATCCATCCACTCAACTGCATATGCTAGCCAACATTAGGGATATATGCTGAGCCATTAGACAGGAAAGGAAGCCTAGGTTATGGGTCTGGTTCCCAAGGGCCTCGTAATATATGAAAGAAACACATTTATATATAAATACATTCATAGAAAAAAACTATTCACAGTGAACTTTGCAGGATGAGAAGCATCATCCAGGTAGAACTATCAAACGTGGGGTAATGGGACCCAATGTGGAAGAGAGAGACACGGCTAGGGCAATGAGGAAAGTTAGGGTCATTGGATGTTGGGATCACTCAAGAGGTTAAGCAGGAGCATGGCCTGTCGAGAATGGGGTTTGTGGTGGTCTCCTGACTCCTGCTGAGAAAACTAACCAACTATGAGGCTCACACATATACTTTCTTAGACTATAACCCTAGAATTGTGGAGTTTCTTTGTTAGGTGAAATCACACAACTTGAGGTCTGCCTCTGCCATTTTATCCTTGCAGGTAGCCAAATCACACAGATTCTTCTGGGAATGACTGAAGAAGAACCACTAGGGATGTTGCATTTTGAGAAACAGTGGGCTGGTTGGGATGTTACTTAACATCATCTAGAGATTCTGTTGCCAGGAGTCTCAGCAGATGCCACTCAGATTTGCAGATTTTTAGATCCATGAGAATACAGAAGAGTCATTCCTGTCTTCTCTATAACCACCTCCTACAGATGCCAAATTTGGAGAACCAGTAGGAATCCAGAGTTAGTTGTAACCAGAGAGAGATTGAATCCAGATACTCCAGACAGTTGGGGAAGCCACCATAATACTCCACTTTTGGGATTGGTCCCATTGAGAGATTGGCTCACCCCCTGGAAAGCTGTTAAAATGAGTTAGATGGCATAGTAAAGAAACTGCTTTTGACTGTTAAATTGCGAGTGACTCACTCATCCCTAGAATGTTGGGGCTGGAAGGTTTCTTAGGCATCATCTCATCCAACCCACTCATTTTCTGGTGAAGGAACCACACCTTCTTCATGCTTAATGCCTGTGATGAAGACTGATGCCTTGTACATAGTGGGTACCTGGAAAATACTTTTAAAGGAGTTATTTCTGGGGACAAAATGAGCAAAAAGGTGCTCTTACAACCACACAGAAGATTCTCAGTGGAGGTTTTTATGCCATGTGCAATTAAAGTCATTGCAGGTAGTAGTCTTATGGCCAATTGGTTCTGTGCTACTTGACATCAGAGGAGTATATGCAGCATTAGGACATCTGCAAAAAAAAAAATCCTGGGCAATAGGAGGGATATCATTTATAGCCATTTTCCTAGTCTTAGTGTGTGCGTGGAGAAAGCAGAGTAAATGCAGGCTCTGTCCTCTGCCCCGTTGCTTTTGCCCCTGTCCTACCAGCCGCTTACTCAACTGTTCCTAAGTCAGTGTGTTTCCCCTTTTTCCTTGGCCTGCTAGAGAATTGGGATCAGCATGTGACCTTTGCCTAGAAGGGAGAATCCTGGTGCAATATGCTTTCAATGCCTCTTCCCCGATGCCCTGTGGACCATCAGGACACTGGAGTCCTCGGGAAGCAGAAGGTAAGTCAGAGCTTATTGACAAGAGTGGTGTACAGATGACAAATTAAATGTACAAGGAACTTTATTCTTCTTAGCAGTCCTTAACACTATTTATGCACTCATTAATTTAACAAGTGTTTTTGAACACATGTACTATTCTGTGTATGCAATTCTCATGTTACATATGATGAAGTCACAAAAATAGTAAATAAGGGTCAAAGGCACATGATATATGCAAGTGTTCATATAACTTACAGACTCCAGCTGCCTGTGGGTACAGGCGGGTCACATAGGAGTTAATGCATATATTGGGTGACTTCGAAGCATCAATCATCTTTGACTCTTCTTCAGTTATTACAAAGGCTACATGGGCCATTATTGTATATGACACAACTCCTTTTTTCCCATGTACACTTTATTTGGTTGCTACTGTTCTAATCTCTACCCATGATCAGATCCTGCATTTTCAGGCATCCCAAGAGGCCAATGACTGAGCCTCCGGATAGCATCATTGTGTTGTATATGTATAGAAAACAACTACTGTGTCCTATAGAAACAGAGAGAACAACTTCTGCCGAATCCCAACTTCTGCACTATGTCACTTAGCCCTGAAGCCAGACTGGCAGAGAACCCATGACTTCCTTTTCATATCACATTTCCCTTTCCCTGCCCTGGGACATTCATACATTGATCCTGTCACCTCGAAGTCCCACAAACTCTAGTGCAGGTCGGCTGGTAGCCACAGTCATTGGGGGAGACATCATGACATCAGTTCATCGGAGAGAGCAGAACCTATACCCTTGTGGAGAGTCAGTAAGAACTCTTCCTCTACCTTTATATTTTTAGAAAGAGGGTGGGAAAGGATGCCAAAGATAGACTAAAGCAAAGGAAAAGGATCAGAGGGGAAAGTGAAGTTGGAAACAATGGTCCTATGCTTTATTTTCTAAAGCAGCTTAAAATAAAAAATGAAATTTGAACGTGGGAACTCTAAATAAATCTATCTGGAATATAAAGCAAGAGGGATGTCTGGGAGAAGCCCTCAGTTCCACCTCACAGAATCACGGGCTGTCAAACACAGAAGGGACTCCTGAGGTCATCAAACTCCAGTCCCCATCTGGTGAAGGAATCTCCTCCACGATCTTCATTATGGCATGCCCTAGCCCTTCAGAAAGTTCTTCCTGAATCTGTAGACATAATTTCCCCAGTCAAATGGAACCCACTCAGACAAAACTATGCATCTCTGACACATGAGAACACTTTGCCAACTTGCATAGCATGGTCCTACCTTTCCATGTACATGCCATGGGGGTATATGCTGGGAACAGTCTTGGGTGCACAGATGAGGCTATGCTGGCCATTCATTAGGACTGAGCAGTAAAGTAAGCAAATGAGCAGTGACCGTGTAGTGAAAAGAGACCATGCTGATCAAAGTCAAGACCCAATAGACAAGAGACTTCATCCAAGACTACAGAATTTAGATTCCCACTAAATGTCACTAAGCACATTTAAGCACTGAGATAATTTTAATTTTTAAAGAAGGGAAGTTTTCTAGGTGTGGTCCTGAGTGTCCTCAAAGTCAGAATTATTTTTATAATTATTATGGCATCATTTAATATTCCTTTTCCATTCTCTCCTGAGAACACATTTGGAGCTTTTCAGGACTACAGAGCATTAGTCCTCTGACAGATAAATGAATGTACACTACACATTTTGTAGCTGGACAATGCCTCCATTCATAGATATACAATAGTGTACAAGTAAATACAAGCCACCTAAAGAAAAGTGCCAAATGATGTTGTGTGCATTTATGTGGATTCACGGCATGAGCAGCATGGTGAGGGTCACAGATATTGAACAGGTGACTTGAATAATTCACATAAGGATGGCTTTGGATCCCCACTGTGTACAGGGAAAAGATGCAATGTACTTAGGTCAGAGTAGATAACTGCTTCATAAACTATGGGTTGAAGCTCCATTTAAAGGTTGCATATCAGCGAGGCGGTGGTGGCACACGTCTTTAATCTCAGCATTCAGGAGGCAGAGGCAGATGGATCTCTGCGAGTTTGAGGCCAGCCTGGGCTACAGAGTGAGTTCCAGGAAAGGTGCAAAGCTACATAGAGAAACCCTGTCTTGAAAAAAATAAAATAAAATAAATAAAGGTTGCATATCAGAACTTGCAACCGCCAAAGATTAACTCACAAACATGTAATGAATCTAGTTGTCTCTGGAAGCACAAATCTTTGTTGCATTGTGCAACATCACTGAACACACCTACAATTTGCACGTTCATGCTTTTGCACCATTAGTGCTAGTGGATGCTGTCTTAAAATGCCTTAGATTCAAGACTATTGGACATTATGAAGTGTGGTATTTTTGCTCTTCATTCAAAAAGTGTTTTGCTCATATATAAAGCGAGTGATGTAATTACGGAAAACAAAGACTTTAGTATTTCCCTAAGGTCATATTAGGATTGTATTGTATTATGATGTTTGATTGATGTTTTTATGATATTGAGGTTGCTGATTTGAATTTCATTTAAAAAATTAACTGAATTTTGACTCAGGCTTAAGACAGAATTTCCAGCCATTTCTGAAAGGGCTCTAAACATACTTCTACCAGTTCTGTACTATATTTTGAGCAAAGCAGTATTCTCAACTGTGCTGATTTTAAAATAAAAATATAACTCAACTCTCCAAAGCTGTTGAAGATACTCTACATCTTGTAATACCAAATATTCAGTCAAGGTTTACTTCTTTATATAAAAACAGACAAGCACATTGATGTCATCAGTATGCAATTTTCCTTTTGCCTTTAATAAATAACATTTTACATATACAGAAGAATTGTTTTAAAGTAAAATTTTAAGACTTACTGTCAAGGGATGCTTGGTTTGCATATCCACTTTAGGTACCTGTATGCCAGGAGCCACTTAAAAATATCTCAGATAGAAGTTTTGCAATTAGAAAAAGTAGGTGAAATGGTAAGATGTGCAGGTTATAGAGAATGCTCTAGCTGCTCTGTGCTAAATAAATTAAAGAATGAAGATCCTGGAGGGAAAGAAACAGCTTTTGGCTGTTGTTAGAATCGGGGTGACCAAGGTCATATCTGTGTTGATGCCAAGGGTCTGAGGCAGCGATAAGGGAGAAAACTAGTGTTGTGAGATAATTGGGAGGTAGAATCTGCGAGGGCCATCCTTGGCTAAAATCACCTTGGTTACTCTACTACTTGTTTAAGTAACATAAATTCCAGCCACCACCACACACCTTCGTGCAAAACAAATGTGTCAGTTAGTGAAGTCTGTTCCTGCTTTATCCTGACTCTCTTAAAGTGTAGCTTATAGTTCATGGTCAAGTGTAAGTGTGGAGGCCCCTGGACAGCTGGGCAACTCCAGCTCCTAAGGACTACCTGGAAGTTCCTACAGACATTTACTACATTCCTGCCAGGAAGAGACACCACTCTGTGCTTAAGGCATCCTATTACATGCTCTGTGATCCATTTGACTCAGATCCTTTTACTATTCTTAAAGAAATAAACTTTTCCATGAGCCAAGCTCTATAATTTATTTCCTAACTCATTTCCAACCTATTTATCTTTTTGTGTTTGAGTTTTGGGACTTCCTAAACTAACAGAAAGCTCCCTAATTCATGAACAATGCCAGCCGTATCTGTGGGGTTGAGAAAAAAGTATGGGGCAGAATTAAACTGGGTGTTCCTCACCCTGTTGCCACTAACTCCTCTGCGCCTTGGAAGTTCTTAAAATACTCCTAACATAGTATCTTACCCACGGAATGAATATTCAATCTATAATCCTCATTCTTAATTCCATATTAATATGATAAAAAAATTTCATTTTTAAGAAACCTGTTAGCTGTCCACTGCATTCAATTAACTTTACTCCATAGTAGGAAAACAGAAACAAAAACAAAAATCTCACCTGTTCCCAGAAAACAGCTGTATTCTTTTTTCTAGAGCAAAATCTTTATTTCATGGATACACATTTCTTGTAGTATTTACCATATTCCATTTATAAAACAGAAACTAGGTGGGTGAATCTGACTGATACAAATCCCACTAAGTTCACTTATGCAAGCATAGAATTCATTCCGAGTGTTGGATTTTCCATGTGAGATCAGCACGTGGCACCACGTGATTCATTCTTTCCTGTTTGTATGAGTGCTTGCTCCATTGTTCTTCTTAGAATATTTCAGGTGTGCTGAAGCATGCATTAAAAAAAAATCTTGGCACTGTATCTGTGTTCATGTCAACAGCTGCAGTGTATATTGCTTAGACATACTATGGGTGTCTGTACATATCTTCATAAATGTAAATTTGGATCAGCCTAAGTATGTGTAAATATTTTTCTGTACATGTCTTATTCCTAGTACATGACTTATACTGTACATGATTTATTCCTAGTGGATTGCTTATAGTAATTAAGTGAGCTTTTTCATGTAGTCACTATATATGCAGAAGGATATGTGTTAATAAGGAATTAATAGGATCATTGTACCTCTCTTTTGATTTCTTCCTTTTTTCCTCCTTCATTTCCTTATCTCTTTCCTCCCTCTCTCCCTCCATCTCTTCTACCCTTCCTCTCTCCCTCCTCCCCTCTTCCCTCCTTCCCTTCTTCTCCCCTTCCTTCCTTCCTTCCTCCCTCCCTCCCTCCCTCCCTCCCTCCCTCCCTTCCTTCCTTCCTTCCCTCCTACCCACCACTCTTTGTTTCCTACTCTCAGCCCTTCTTTGTGTCTCACAACCATATATCTAATAAGTTTCAATCAGAACACAAATGTGTTCACTTTTCGTTACTCTTTAGGGACTTCAACTCATGATCTCTGATGGTCCGTTTGTCCAAACCTTAGATGTGTACTTTCGGCATTAGTGTAAGAATATTCTTACTGACCTCATCAGACTAGAAGCTATATGAACACCAAGAGAACATCTAAAAACCTGCTATCCAGGGAATAGCCTAATTCAGGACACGTGCTCAGCACTCTATAATTACTATTTCAAAGCATGGATGGGCATATTGATGGATAGATAGTTAATGGGTGGATGGATGGATGGCTGGCTGGATGGATAGTTGATGGATGGATGGGTGTGTAGATGGATGGATAGTTGATGGATGGATGGATGGATGGATGGATAGATAAAAAGAGGAAGAGTAGGGAGAAGGAGGGACAGATGGATTGATGGATGGGTTGATGGATGATGTATTGGTAGCTGGATGGATGGATGTACAGATGGAAGGATGAATAGACAGGTGGATGATTGATGAATAGTTAGTATCTATTTTCTCGAAACTGTTTCTTAAAAGACAGATGTTATATCACTCATTTGCTTAAAATTTACAAGGAGCTCTTCATCTTTCTCCGTGTACAATTCATGTCCTGTAATGTGATACACAAAATACCTCCTGATGTGGTTTCTGTTTACTCTGCTGTCAGCACTTACTACTATCTTTCTGTGAAACTGTATGTCATCTTAACTCTCTCAACCATTGTCTGTGCTTGAAATACTTCCTCATACAAAGACTTTTCTAGTTTCTCATGCCTTCTCATGACAGTATTAATGCAGTTTTGAGATTTATTAAAGATCTCATCCATTTGCATTTGACAGCTACCTTATTAAGTAGATAACATTGAAGTTGGTAACACAACTGATGTTGAATAGTTGAGATTTTAATTCAACTATCATTGCTTCAAAGCCTGGCACATGGCATGGACCAGCAGTATCAGACAATGTTCTACGATTGTAAGAAGATTGCTTAGCCATCTGAAGCTAGGCTTTCTCTTCTGTAGAATGAGTTTCATAAAATCAGCACTAGAGAATTGCTGCCAGGATACAGAGAGCTAAGGCATGCAATGAGCTTTGTGCAGTGCCTACACAAAGAGGCTGGTTGGTGTAGGAAGCCTGGCATTATTACTTATAGACTTGCTGCTTAGTAATAAGTTGCAATTTGTGACACTTATGTTCCTTTTTTTATATCTAAGAATCTATCTCTAATAACAATACAAGTAGAAGCTTTGCTAAATTTTCTACTCCTATTTACCTATTTGAGCATAAAGATCAGGCTTACCATATCCTTTAGAAAGCATTTGGTCCCTCTATTGATTAAAAAGAAAACAGGAATGATGAATCAAACAGATTTGTCATCTTTGTTCTCCTGTGTCTTCCTACCCCTGACAGTCATCTTCTCCAATGACGGGAGAAAGATCCCTTACCAATTCCAGGAAAGCACACAGAGGGGGTGGGATGTTCACCAGGCATCACCCACTGGACAGCAGGCTCTAAAATTCCATCTTCTTTTTATAAGTACCATATTTGCAAGAGAGAAATGTTCATTGCTGAGCAAATACCAGTCAGATACCTACCGTGTGTAATCTCTGAAGACCAGGTACTGAATTGACTAAAGGCTCTCCACATTGAGTGAAGTAGATCTATAAAACAGAGACAGGGATATTCTCTTTCAAGACTTTGATGAAAGTCATTTGAGTTGACTATTAACTAGGGAATGTTCTTCATGTCCTGTAAGCTGTTGTCTTGGGTAATGGATGATGGATGAATAAGAGATCCATGTGCCCTCACAATACAAAATTGAGAGTTGGAAATATGGTGGATTGTAGAGTAGATAGGAAGATTTTAGCTAGGTAAAGGGTCATTGTGCTTTTTCCTTAAATCAAGAGTTGCTTCTAGCCAACAGTAGCTATTTGTGGAGGAAGAACCTAATCAAGATGTGCTGGAGGAAATCTAGACTAAGAAGATTATCTCTTCTTGGTCTAGTGTGTTATATATGAAAATGTTTTTGTGCATTTTCCATGCCCCCATTTCTTCTCTTTTTCTCTTCTATTTTCCATCTTTACTTTGTAGCCTCTCTCTCCTCCATCTTTGGGAAAAGATAATACTGTAGGGGGTGTTAAAATCCCTCACTGTAATAAACCCCCTACACACACAAACACACACACACCTGGATTTTTAATGCTTATATTATGGTGATTTCTCTTACCCTGTAATATTATCACAAAGTGTTGCCAGACTAAGGTTGTTTTCCTCTTCTCTTGATTTAGAAATATCAAACATGCTTACTCCCTATACAGACACCAACAGTAATAACAACACAAAACACCACCACCTAGTGATCCTGAAGGGGCAGAGGATGTGACTACCAACACAACTTGAAAGTCTCTCAATCTGACCTCATCAATAAATCTCTATCTCCCTTAAGCAAATAAGAGCTGATCACTACATTGAATTATGATTACTTTTCTCAGCAGCACAAAAGAGAGTTCTCTGAAGGTCTAGATGTGACCTCAGCAGAGAAGAATTTAGAAGTCACTGCAAACTGAGATCAGTGGAGATGAAGCATCTTTTTTCTGAGGAAAAGTAGCAACATCACATTTTTTTTCTCCCACTCTGCTGTCCTTGAGTCAAAGTGGACAGAATTCAGAGAACTCAATGGTATGGAATGATCTCATGTAGGGAAAAGGAGGAGTGATAAAATGGCCCAAAGTCTGACTTGTAGCTCTGTCGTTCATAGTTCAGTTTCCTCCCAGGCTCTGTCTGAGAGCTGTATCCTATCTTTGCTTCCTCCTTCTGCTGGGTAATTTCTGGTGCTTCTGTAAGTCTAAACAGGTTGGAACAAAGCCAGTGATATCACTGGGACTCTAAGTTTAATGATCCCTGCATTTAACAGGGACTTTAAGGTATAGACCTTTGTTCAATTCATTCTGTTTTTGAACCTTAATTGCCTCACTTAGGAAATTAATCCATTTAAGAATTAAACAAGCTCATGGAACACAGAGGGTGTTCGAGCAGTGTCTTTGTTTCTATAGGAGGCATCAAAGCCTCTAAATGGAAACTTAGCAAGGAAAGTTTGAGCATTAGCTCAGTAGTAAGACACTTGAACTTCACTTAAAATGCTGTATGACTCATCTGGGATCTGTTTTGCAGGGTTAGTGATGAGCTGAGTACCCTGTATTCAGCAGATTTTCCATGACACTGAGATCTACTCTTTTATCTCTAAGCTCATATCACACAAATCTTTTCTGGGGTCTATGGGAAACTACAAAAACCAGAATGAAGCAAGAACTCATTTGCATCTCTTTTCTCCATAGGTCATCCAGATGTTGAACAGCCCTGTAAATCCAGTGTCAGAACCTGGAGTCCAAATTCAGCTGTTAACCCACACACAGTCCCTCCAGCTTGTCCTGAGCCACAAGGCTGCTACCTCGAGCTGGAATTCCAGTACCCCTTGGTCCCTGATTCATTGACCATCTGGGTGACCTTTGTCTCCACTGACTGGGACTCCAGTGGAGCTGTCAATGACGTCAAACTATTGACAGTCAGTGGAAAGAACATCTCTTTAGGTCCTCAAAATGTTTTCTGTGATATCCCACTGACCATCAGACTCCGGGATGTGGGTGAGGAGGTATACGGCATCCAGATCTATACTCTTGATGAACACCTGGAGATTGATGCAGCCATGCTGACCTCTACTGCGGACAGTCCACTCTGTCTAGAGTGCAAACCCCTACAGTATAAAGTGCTCCGGGACCCACCTCTCCAGGAAGACATAGCCTCATTACTACACCTCAACAGAAGATTCGTGGACATGTAAGTGCCTTCTCCCTATCGGGAGCTGATATAATGCATGGGCTGTGGAGAGATGTGGGGAAAGTCAGAAAATCCTGGACTAGAAGGAGAAAGTTCATCTTAGTAGGACTTGCTTCTAGAGACTGTATCCCAGTGTTGGGTGGGGGCTTGGTTTCAGTAAGGCAGAGGTGGTGTAATGGGAAGGGTCATGAATAATCATAGGGGGTCAGGAGTGTGGACATTTCTTCTCTGTGACCTTCACTTATCTCTCCAAAGTTTGGTATTTTCAACAGCAAACAAAGGAGTAGGATGTGAATGACAGTGAAAAGGTCCTTGATTACTAATAAAAAGGGGGGAAGCTGAACTTTACTAATGACTTCCTTGTATGTAAACTTGAAGCAGATTGGTACATTCTGATTACTTCTCCAGTGTACAAAAATGGTGATGTAGTAACAACTTCAGTGGAACTTGAGGACACACCTAGGAAACTGCATGAAAATGTTCCTAGACATTGAATACCTCTAGTCACCATCTTTCTGTTTGTTTTAGTTCCTGAGGTAGAACAGAGTCCCTAACTTCTTTGATCATTGAGAATCCATGACTGCTTTTTATGGGAGAAGAGGAAATGCTCACTATATTTGTCTTCAACATTTACTTTTTAAGCTCTTTTCTAGCATTTTCTTTACATCTTTGGGATACATGTCTTATAAGAAAGATGCCTTTTGATGAGGTCATTAGTAGTGTGTGTGTGTATGTGTGTGTTTATCACTTATCTGTTGTTATGACCAAAAAAAAGGGCAACTGTGTTAAATTGATGGTACAAGGCTTATGTTGTCTCTAATTTTAGAACGTTTAGAATATTGTCACTTGGACATGCTCCTACTGACCATTGCTAGAGGCAGGACAGAACACCATGACAGGGAACATATAGTAGAAAAGAGATGCTTGATTTATGGCATCTTGAAAGCAAAGAGAGGGCTTTACTTTCATCATAGCATTCATTATCCAGAGCTCAATAAGTTCATGAATCCATGAATATATTAATCCCTTTATGCTATCAAAGCCTTCAGGATACAGTCACCTCTCAAAGGCCCCCATCTCTGGACTCTGCTTCAATGGGACCTAAATCTTTGATACATGAACTCTCAGGCAATATTTAAGTTCCAAACCATAGTATCTTGTCTACCAGACAGAAGTCTATAATAAAGTCAGTGTCACTTATTCATTTCACCCATTCTATAACCACAGCCCTACAGTCATTATCAATTTGCAAAGAAGGAAAAAGGAGGCTTTCAGACATGAGGTCACTTGTTTAGAGAGTGGTGAGATGGAGTTGAAATGTAACCCCAAGTTGGTTGGTCCAACTTGTGTTCTGTCAACGATTTATCTATCTAACTTCTATTTTAGTCTTTAAAATGTGTTGGAGAATTAACTGCCTAATTTGAGAGTGAAGAGTCTGTGTAGTCAATCAACAAACCTTATATAATACTTCCTATGTGCAAGAAACATGAGTGGGGGACATTTTGAATAATGGAAAGAACAATAGCCCAGGATGCAGATGCTTCTTATTTAGCCCTAGACAGCCCACTTACTAAAATGAGGTAAATGGGTTACTCTCTTTGAGCACTCCTTTTTCCTCCATGTGATGAAAATACTGAACTCCATGATTTCTACAAGTTTTGTGTGGCTCTTTATTCAGTTATAAGATGATGATATAAGACACTATCTCTACTCTATGCACTCAGAAATATTTACTAAGCCAATCATTAATGGAAACCAAATTCTGGAAGGAAACTTTTAATCTTTTTAAGAGACAGAACCACTTTCAAACACTTTACCAGCACTTCCCTTTAAATGCCAGCAATTAGCGTGCACATCTCAGGCAAAGCATTGCCCATTCATTGGACAAGAGATGAAGAACATCTGTTTAGGAACTCCGAGGGAGCCCTTGGTTTCTGTTTGAGAACGTACTTAAAACTTAAGTACATCATCTTCCATGAAAATATTCCATAACCCTGTCTCGTTCATCTCCTCACTTGTCTGGGCTGGTAAAGTTCTGTAAATTTGTAGCCACTTAAGATTTCTTTATAAAATAATAGGGGAAAGAAATAATAGATGCCTTAAAACCTCAGCTTAAACCCAGCTTTCTTTCATTTTTTGCTTTGATTTATGAGCCTGTGAGAGCTGACATGGGTTTGATGAGTACAGAATGGAGGAAATGAAACAGAAGAAAAAGCACCCCAAATTCTATTCTCTGCTAAGCCACTAACTCACTCTGGGATCTTGGATGAGTCACTTACTCTTTCTGGTTCTTAAATACCTCAATTCTATAAGAGGGAGATTGTACTCAAACCTTAAATTCGATTGCTCGTTTCAAAACCTTGATATACTTTTAAATGGCCTGGTTCTCACCTTCTCTCTCTCCCATCTTTTTCCTGGGTATTGACTTAATAGTCAGGCCTGAGGATCAGGACTTGTAAACATCTCCTGAAGTGGCTATAATATGTCATGAAGTTTCAGACCTACTGCTCTTAAGCAGCCTCCTGGCTCCTAGCATATTGCCCCAGATCAGCTGTATCAGCCTCACTTGGGAACCCAGAAAGGCCAGGTTCTCAGGCCCTGGCCAGCCTACTGAATCAGAAAGTCCATGTGTAGCGTCTCTCCAGGTAATTTTCTTGTTAGCTAAAGTTTAACAGCCACTGCTCTTGGGGAGCTCTAAAGCCCAGGAATCACCAAGTTCTCTTTCACTCTTAAAGGTACTCTTTCAATTACAAGTATGAGTGGAAGGCAGTCTGTGTAGTCAACTATACTGGGAACTGTGGATGACAAGAACCACTCAGACTGGCCCCTTCAATGAAAGCACTCAACCTGAGTGCTGAGGAGAGGACACCCCACAGAGTCTCTGTGATAGAAACAGCGGTTCCTTTGCACTTCACATCCAAAAGCATCACACTGTTAGGTCCACACTCTCGTGTACCATTTGTTTTTTTGTTTCGTTTTAGTTGTTGTCCACGTGACAATGAAACATTTCTTTATAGTCCCTTGTATGTGACAAGTGCCAGACTCAGGTACTGATTAGCCTTCCTGTTTGCCTGTTTTTAAAATGTATTTACTTTTATTTTATGTGTATGTTTTGCTGTGTAAACATATGTGCACCACATGTGTGCCCACCGAGGCCAAAGGAAAGCATTGGATCTCTCAGAAACTGGAATTGCAGATGACTGAGAACTATCCTGTGGGTGCAGGGAATAGCACTCTGGTCCTCTCACAGACCACGAAGCACTCTTAACCACTGAGCCGTCTCTCTAGCCCCTTCCTATTTGCCTCTCGTGAGAATCAAAAAAAAAAAAAAATTGTTGGAGGTTAATGCTGGATCGGGCTGGGCTTCCTCAACTGAATATATTCTGAATCACTGAGGAATAAAAGGAAAACACATCACCTCAAGTCCATCTACCATTTCAACTCTTCCTTTATCTCTCAGTAATTTGAGTATTGAAGCCTACCACAAACTGTGCGTGTGCGTGCGCGTGCGCGCGCGTGTGTGTGTGTGTGTGTGTGTGTGTGTGTGTGTGTGTGTGTGTGTGAGAGAGAGAGAGAGAGAGAGAGAGAGAGAGAGAGAGAGAGAGAGAGGTTGCTTCTTTTAATTTTTTCCATATCGAATAAATTGGCTTTTATACAAGTTCTATATAAAAGGCTGTTTTGGAGAAAAGTGGAGGGGTCTTTTTCTTCTGACTCACCCATTACATGTTTCCCTTTGACCTTAGTCTCTATTTTTTTCTCCCAACAAAAATATTTATTCTTTCTGTTATCTGCACTGGAGATAGTTTTCTAAGGTATGACATTGATGGAGAGAGCCTTCTATGCTTGCTCCATGGAAGTTTCTGGTAGACTAATTACTGTTGGCCAGGACAAGAAAGAAATGTGGATTGGTTCCACCTACTTAAGCCAAACACTACATTTGTATGAGAATTGACACTATCAGAATTAAAGGGCCAGCACCAACATTGCTAATAACTAACTAACTCAGCATGTGACACCAAAGCACATTATGACATCTTTGGGGCCTCGGTTTCCATTCCTATAAAATATAAAATGAAGGGCCAGCACATTAAGAATTGCTCTATGGACAAATCTACATAGAGAGGGTAGCTTAGGAAAAGTGAGTTTTATACTTTACTGCATTAAAAGAATACAACAGGGGTTGCTTGGAATAATTAGTCCTTACAGACTCTAACTGGCTCCGAAAACCTTACTGAAATGTGTTACCTGTGACCAATACCAGTCATTTACTGTTGACACTGCTTTAAGTTCCTTCCAAGTTCTTACAGAGCAAGTGGGAAAGTCAAACCTCAAAATGATGTGTCCAGCCTTGAATGGCTAGTTCATAGCCAGGTTCAAGTCCCAGATCTAATTCCAAACTCTCCCTCTTAGCCACTCTACCTTATACTTTCATATCAGAAGATACAGTCTAAGAGCTCGAGGGGTGCACTGGCTTGTCCACATTTCTAGCCACAAAATGTAGAATAGGGGATTGCCAGGCAGAAGACACCGGCCAACAATCAGGTCCTGTGACTTACTGCTGGTATCAAAGAGTACACATCATGTGGTTCTCTATGACCCTGGATGGGAAAAAAGAGCAAGTTTGTTTTTCACTTTCCCTTGTTTTCATACAGTCTTTAGATTAACCCCAAAATGAAGACTCTGTATAAAACTAACCAATGATAGATAGATAGATAGATAGATAGATAGATAGATAATGTAAAGTGTTAAATCAAACCAGAACAGTAAACAGCTGCTCACTCACTCATTTTTTTTTTTTTTTGGTTTTTCGAGACAGGGTTTCTCTGTGTAGCTTTGCGCCTTTCCTGGAACTCACTTGGTAGCCCAGGCTGGCCTCGAACTCACAGAGATCCGCCTGGCTCTGCCTCCCGAGTGCTGGGATTAAAGGCGTGCGCCACCACCGCCCGGCATTCACTCATTTTTGAATCTGTCTGTTTCATCCATCTAACGATTCAGTCAAC